CTGGAGAAGGGGGTTGAGAGGAGGTTCCCCCTCCCAAATGATATTTTTTTAAAGGAATATCAACCTCTGGATGGCTGAAAATGGCACTCTCAGACTGTGACAGACATGTATTGGTTTGGTGTGGGCCTATTTTTATATGTTTTATGGTCCGACTGCCCGACGAGCTTTGTCGAGCAGGGGGGGGGAACATGAACTGTCTTGTGGGGGGCTTAATCCCCTTCCCCCTGCTGGCACCACCACTGATGCTACCTCAGCCCCACCCTGGTTGGGGCTGAGGTAGGAAATATTTGTTTATGGCACTTGTAGATGGTGGGAAATGACACTGTCAGACTCGAAATTTGAATGTTATACTCTGTTATCCCTCATTTACTTTAATTTTGTCACATTTAGGGCTCCCTCCTGATTTTTTAAATTTATTTAATATGCAGGCAAAAGCAATGCAAGAGGAAACAAGATGTACTTTACCTGAGGATTACCACTATGAAGTGGCTCTCCTATACCAAAAATCTTTACATAGAGAATACATAATTTGAAAGATTCACCAATAAATTATTGGAATTAAAATATAATGGCAATTAAAACAATTCGCAGTGAACAAATTCATGGCTGTCAAAGGTATTTCATTATTGTAAGACAAGAAAAAATAATGGAATCGTGATAATCTAGACTCCCAACATTTTTGCGGACCCCCACATTTTTCGCGGACCCCTTTGACCTGGTAGACCCCTAATTATTTTTCGTATGGAACCGCTGCTATAGTTATCTGTAAACGTTTACTGACTCTGATAATGATGTACACAATATCGATATTGTTATCAAAAGGCATTATTGAACAAACACAACCACAACAGATACCTCCATTCTCAGGCCTGCAAATATTATCTAGCTGTGGTGAGCCTGGAGCTTGTATTGGTTTATTGTCACATCATCCATATTTTAACATAAGCATTTAAGCAAATCAGCTTAAAGCCCTGTCCAAACTATCATTTTCAAATTTGATTTGACAAAAACATATGACATGCCTAAATATGGTCATGATGACGTCACATCACGACCATATAATATAGGCCCATCATGACTATAAATGGGCATACAACAGTTTTCGTCAAAGAAAATTGTATATTCTTGACAGAGCCTTTGTTGCTACTGTATAGAGTACTATAGTGTTACATCACAATACCATGTGATACTACTCCGTTGTAATCGTTGCAAAATGCATTCAACCGGACACCATTTTATCCACTGACAAACCAATGATGCCAATTTCTAACATAATTATTAGGATGTTGTATCTTAGTTTTTCTTTGTAAATTTTTAATTGATGACTAAATGTGTGTTTGATAACTAATGTAATGCAAGCTTTTGTGTTTTTAGTACATTTTGATGGTAAAATATTAGATTTTAAAATGCCTATTTCAGAAAGCTTATGAAGTCATTCAGGCGCAATGAACGGTAACCAATGTTTGGTTGGCAACAGAGGGCGCTACCTGGTTGTTGTGATGACACGACTGTGGTACCTATTGTAAGCTGGAGACAACTGCAAGTCATCTACTATTGTAGTCCTGGTTGAGATTACATTAAATTTCATCGTCGTTCTCCTCGCAATAGCACTGGCGATTCATGTATGCCCTCAAAGCCATGTAACTCTGTATTTGAAACAATAATAGAAAAAAAAAAATATGTGGAGTTTTGTATATCTACAATACAGTACTTAATTTGAGCTATCAAATATAAATTTTTGTTTTTAATATGTTGTACTTATTACCTTGTCTTCATAACCGTTTTTTTCCCCATAGACAACATATGGTCGTCATTGACTGATTTATATCAGTTGACATAACATTGCCATGCATTAACATGAGAGAGATCTTATTTGAAAGTAGTGCTCCACATTTATTCATATATTTATTTTATTTTATTTATTTATTTTTATTTTATTATATTAATTAACTGCCTGTAACCCCAGGTGGGACCCTGGCGGGTACTCCCTTCCCGGGGTCCAGAGTGTCTCGGAAGCTTATCTCATAGGCAGGGTCACTCATCTCCCTGTCAGGTCACACTATATCGAATGTACAGTGTATACCTAATGATATAAATAATAATTACAAGGATATTTCCTTTTTTAAAGCAATGGTCCCCCAAAAAACGATTGGATTCTTCACCACCAGGGGGTGGCACTTCCCGATGGGGGGATCATGTTCCCTGGAACCCCACTGGCACAACCACCCCTGATGCAAAATCATGTTGCCCTTGACCTCACTGCAATTAACAATGGCATTCAACAGTTAAGAATAAATAATGAACTTCAATTACAAAATGATGAATATAAATTAGGCACACTACCGTCTTCTGAATGCCTTCGCTTGTCATGATTTTGTTTTGTAGCTAAATTATGTATGGCAGATGGTCTTGCGATGGATGGTTGGTAATTTGTTCTCGGTTTGCCATGTGTAAAGTGTGTCAACAAACTGTAAATCAACGGACTGAAAAGATAGCAATAATTTCATTCTTTAAAGATGCATGGTAAAACAAAATCATAAAAATCATTTTTGAAATTAACTTGCTCATTTTGAAGTAACATAAAAAATATCAACTTGAAGAATATAGAAATTAGTTAAAGGTGTTTACCCATAATTTTACAGTGAAAAAAGGATAGATTCACTTCCCATTGAAAGTATTTTAAATTGTATCAAATCATTACCCTGTATAAAAATCAGGGTACACATTTTCTAAATTCAATAATATATATACTGATAATAATTTGCATGCTACTGCAAAATAAGCAAGTCAAATTCAAATTTTATTTTCTTGTCATTTTCCGGGGACAATACAACTTTAATACACTGAGTTTATATTACATTATTATTTTTATTGTATCATTATTATTATTATCATTATTTCAGCTTATAGCTTAATAGGCAAAAACTGAAATTGTAGTCTGCACTAGCGAAACATAAGGTAAATAAACAAACATGACATAGCGTAAATACTTGAATAACAGCCGCTCTCGCATAAGCGCTGCTCTCGAATAAGTGCCAAGCCAAACCTGCTTTTTTTTTGCTAAGCGCCGCTTTGGAATAAGCGCCGCAGCACTTAATTAAGAGTATACTGTATATTACCTAGTGTGCAATGAGACACTTTGAGAAACAGGGTTTTAATACAATGTACAGTATACAGTGTTAAACTGAACAAAAAAACACAATGAAAACACAAGCATTTCTTTATAAACGTTATCGATGACGGAGGACTTATGATAGGCCTACTGAACTACGTGAGATAGGTAATATGGGAACGGGCATGGAAAGCGCCGCTCTTGGATAAGCATTTATTCAAGCACTTACGGTAGTTAGTGAGAAAAGGTGAGCAATAATACTCAGACATACAAATACCAGACACACTCCAAAAGTCAGACTGTCCCATGTCTAACAAAAGGGCAAAGAAATGGTGACATTTGTGAAATCTGGTTCAGTGGCATTTGGAAATCATGTTCGTCAGTTAGCAGTTTTCTTTTTTTAAACTAAGGACTTAAATGCTAGGGTTCAACTGACTGAGGTTGGTTTCCCAAGAGCAACAAAGGCATGTGACTTGCCTAAATATGGGAAGTACATGTACCACTTGTAAGACTAACGAAAAGTCAATTTTTTTTTTCAGTTCATGGTCTCAAAGTCTGGAACAATTAATATAAGTAGTGATTTGAAACAATCTATTTCTGGGACAAAACTAAAATGTAAATACAAAAGGCAAATTATACTACAGTACTATTAATAAAAATCTATCTCCGTGGACAAACATAAAATGTAAATACAAATGGCAAATTACCTACAGTACTCTCAAAAGAAAATCCAATGGATGATTGAAATTAACTAAAATGCTCTTTAATAAATAATAACGATAATTATTATTTTTATAATTATATTTAAAAAAAAATTTTTTTTTTTCATGTGTGTACAATATGTCTTTGTTAAGGGGCAGTTTAGACAAGTCTTCTGCTTTTTAACTGTCTTTTGTCCACTTTGTAATACTTTTGTATGATGAATGTTATAATTTCGAATATTGAATTGAATTGAATTAATGACGTCACATAGGCACATGACTACAGTATATGCGAATATACAATTCTTTGTCAAAGAAAACATGTTAGTTTGTACAAAGATTAAGAACGAGAGACTACTTCAGAAAACAGGATGAACTGTGTAACTAAGTGTGTAATTTTTACCCATAAAAACTATCATAAGCCTAGGCTATCAAATCGCTATAACGTAAAGTACAGTAGATATTAATTGTTATAGGATAACCTGTATTAAACAAACATCCCTGGAATACCAACATCGCAACAATACCAGAATTGAAAATATTTGAGTAATACTAATAGATATTTATTACTAATAATAGGGGTTCTATTGTAAACGAGTGGTGGAGCTGGCGAGGTCAAGGGCCACAGCTAGGACCCGACCTTATGTTGGGAACCCTGGACACTCTGTCGGGAAAGTAGCCAATCATTTTGCATAGGAACATTGCTTTGAAAGACAGAGCTGGAAAATGTGTGTGACCACACAACCGACAGTAGGAGGCATCATAAATGTCCCAGAGGCTGTGGCGTGCCTAGCGGGGTGAGCACGCCCCTCCAAAAATTACTTGCGCGCCCTCAGTC